ATTTGGAATGTTTTCATTAACAAACTAACAGACCAAGGGCCTGAGTCACAAAAGTGTAGCACAAACACTATGTTGGCTTGTGTCAGTGAAAACAGAGGTACTGAAATTGTCAGGTGGATTAGGCAGACAATTTCTGGTTGTCTAAAGAAATTCTTTGGCCTGCTGCATTAAAAATACCCTGAATCTAATCTGTCCGCAAAAGTTCTCTTCCACATCTGTCTGTGGAAAAAAGAATTACAAAAAACTGCATGTATGGAATGTATTTGGGTCAAGATAAAACTTGTTGAATATTAGCATTGAAATAGGATTTCTTTTTCCAAATTAACTAGCATGTAGTAAAAAAAAAAAAGAATGTTTCTTCTATGGTATGCAGATGTACAGTTTCAACATGAAATACTGTATATCGCATATACAAGCTTATATTTGAATGCAAATGTCTCTGTTCCTACTCCACTGTCTTCTCTGAATTTCTCATCCTCTTTTTCCATGTAACCTGACTAATCTGGTTCATCAATTTACTCTTTTACCTGAAATCCAACCAAAACATCAAAAAATGCAGTATGCAAGCTTTTAGTTTATTTAGGGCTCCTCATCACCTGAAATAACAAAGCAAGCAGGTTGAGTTTGTACTTCATGACTTTTTTGTTTGTCCAACTGAATAGTGCCAGAGTGAAGACTTTACTTATGGTTGGTGACAATTTCCTTTCCTTTGTAAATTTCATATTAAATCAATAGATTTCTATCCATGTTGCTAGGAAGGTGTCCTGTGGAACTCAACAAGAGTTAAACGTCTATGGAGATTCTCAGTCATCCAGGTCACGGTTGGTCCAAAGGTGCCTTTTCGAGAGGCAACTGGACTTTCTGGTTTTTCTTTGAAGACATTTCGTTTCTGATCCAAGAAGCTCTGACTGGATGGTAGAGAATGGAAGGGTTTATATTCCTTGAAAACAGCTGGTCATTTGCGTTCTTTTAGCAGGTCATTAAGGTCACCTGGAGGTTTAAAATCACCTGTATTTAAAAGACACAGGCCACCCTTTTGAAAACAGCAAAGTCCACATTTTGGACAGAGAGGGCCGCTGGTTTGAAAGCGGGGTTAAAGAGGCCACCTGGGTCAAAATTGAACAGCCCTTTCTCAACAGAGGGGGAGCTTGTAGATGTTTGTAGAAATCTACAATCTACAACACAGTCTTTTCAACAGTTCCAAGAAGGCTCCACATCTATTTGTACCACTCAGGAGACCCGGATGACACAGATAAACCTCCAGGTGACCTTAACAACACACTAAAAGAATGCAAATGGCCAGCTGTCTGCAAGGAGTATAAATCCTTCCATTTCCCCACCATCTGGTCAGAGCTGAAGAAGCTTCTTGGATGCGAAGTGAAACATCTTCAAAGAAAAATGAGAAAGTCCAGTTGTCTCTTGAAAAAGCACCTTTGGGTCAACAACGGTTACTTCCACAAAGGTATGTAACAAACTGACCCTCCCATAAGATACCTTATACAGCATAGGTATTGAGATGGATGTAAAACCCTGGAAAATTATATCAACCCAGCTCCCTTCCTGCCTCAGAGCCGGCAGAAACCACTCTGCCCTAGGCTTGGCTGTTTTTATAGCAAGTCCTTACTATGCAGCCAGAAGGTTCTGTGCTGTGCTCTTCTCTGCACAGCTTGAATGCACAACACTCAAAGGGAGATGCTCGTTGTTCTCTCAGCTGAAGTTCCAGCCCTGTCAAACAATGTGAAAATCCTCCTCTAATTGACATGCAGAATCATTACTAATGCACATACACATGTTTTCTTTCCCACTGTAATGCTGTGTTTTTTCCAATCTTTGAATATATAAATCAGCTGCTTGCCTATTTATTATATTGCCCAATAGATGGCAGCAAGCACTTGGGATTTTATATCTCTTGGCTGCTGTCTAGTGGTTGTCTGGATTTGGACAGTCATTTGGGTTAAGTACCATTGAATAACTGGAGTTTCAGTAAACATTATAAGTGATGTAAATTACCCAAAAACATTATGTGAAAAGAAGAAATGAGGAACTGGGGATCCTGGGGACAGTAGCTATTGGGAAAGACATTCCCAGCCAAGCAAGCTTTAGAGCAGGGGTGTCAAACTCATGTCATCATGGCCGTGTCATGTGATGTATGGGAACTTTTGCCCCCCTTCACTAAATCGGGCATGGGCATAGCCAGCATGTGATGCATCTGCCCCACAGGCCAGGAGTTTGACAGCCCTGCTTTAGAGGAACAAGAGAGGAGTTATTTCTTTAAGACTTCCAATTATATGCATTAAGCCAAGGACGTCCTAATCAATTTCATATTCTCTTGGGTAACCAGACAACCAACTGGTTTTAGAAGGGGGCGGAAGAGGGCAAATGGCTGTGGTAGCTGGGGTTGTGATCTCCCTCACAGCTGAGGGATAGAAATACAGGTCAGGCGTCAGATGGAAGGGATGGTCTCACAGGAAACTAGAAGACTCAGTTGCAACACAGATCATGTCACTTCAGCACATTCTACGATGCCAGCATACAGCTTCTGAAGTGTGAGAACAGAGAGGAAGAAAACACTTCCCCAGAGGAGCACCCAAGACCTTCCCAGGTTGCCTCAGCCATATGGCTAGACAATGCTTTACAGGTGATAGCCCACAGAAATGGGTAAGGTTGCTGTGTAGATCTGTCCAAGGCTTGGGAATTTGTGACATGGATTCTTTTGGATTAATTGCTATGAAATACAATTGTGAGAACCTGTTCTCTATCCTGTGATGCAATTTATAAAATGATTTTGGATCATATACGCAAAAACATCAATCCTGCTTATACTGCAAACCACACACCATATTCAGCATTTGCATATATGTAAAAATCTGGGGTTCTTAATTGCTCCAAGGAGATATCTAGGTTGCAAAATATCTTACTTTATTGTTTGTATTTTGTTGTCAGATTCTTATCCCAGCACTGATGATCGCAAAAAGTGCTTTTTCAAGAGGCAACTGGACTTCCTGGTTTTTCTTTGAAGGCATTTCGCTTCTCATCCAAGAAGCGAAATGCCTTCAAAGAAAAACCAGAAAGTCCAGTTGCCTCTTGAAAAAGCACCTTTGGGACAATCACGATCTGGATGACTGAGAGTCTCCATAGATATACAGCACTGATGATGTTGCCTAGTTTGGGTAATGAAATTTCTGCAAGAAAACAAGCAAACTCAGAAAGCACCAAGGACCCTTCATTTCAACCCCGAGGTACAAATATTCTCCTCTATTCTTATCCTATCTTTCTTTAGTGCTTCTCAATAGCGTAAACTTTAAACTGCCTGGACCTCAACGCCCAGAATTTACCAGCTTAGCATCCTGGCAGGGAAATTCTGGGAGTTGATGTCACACATCTTAAAATTGCTGAGGTTGAGAGCTTCACTCAGAACATTTGAGACCCATTCCTCCTCCCTTTTTTTTTAACAGCAGCAGTCCTGTGAGATAGGTTGAGTCAAAGGTCTAAAGTCACTTAGTGAGCTTCCATAACTGGTTGGAAGGAGGTTAAAACCCAAGTCTTTCTAGTCCTCAGCAACTTCCATCTATCCATCAATTCCTCCACCTCAAAACTGAGTCAAAGAGTTCAGTATTGGTTCTCCATGCATAGGTCTCCCATAAGCTCTAGATCCATGTCACTTAGTGAATTTGTAATATTTACTGGAATTTTAAAGTGCTTTAAAGTGAATTTGTATAACAGTAGACTTCTGGTATTACACAAGCCTCTTTCATTCAGCATAATGTAATAAACAATATTTTAGTGCAGGTTTAATAGCCCATTTCTTCCCCAAATACATGCTTGTTTCATTATTTGTGAATAGGTCACCTCTCACAGTTCATTATCCAGCACAATCGAAGTAAAATATTCCCTCAAATTAAGTTTGTTGGAGCCACACCAAGCAGGCAATCTTTGTTAACATATGAAACTGTAGTAAGCCTGTTCAGGGAACTTAGAACTCCTTCATCCCACTGGAGGCAACTTTCCAGATCTTTCCTGGCCTTGGTGGTGGAGACACAAGGATTAAAGGAGAGCCTTCTTGAGTATCCATTTTTCATTGAACACAGGCTTTCTCTTGTTCACATGCAGCTGTTCCAGCAGAATACACCCAACGCTGAAAATAATGGGGTACTCGCACAAAGCAGCTCTTCCGGATCTAGCTCTTACCTTGAAAACCTATTCCCTCCAAGTTGATCCCCCAAAGTTGATGGGTCCCTATCCCCCACTAATTGCCTGTCTACCTATGGGAGCCTAGCTTCACCTTAGTCACTCCAGGAAATCTTTCAATCGGCCACACCAAGTTGCCCATCAAGCGGGGGTGGGAGGCTAACGAAGGCCCTGCTTCCCTTCGTACTTCTACAGGTAAGGCCTTCCCGAAGCTACGAGCCCCGCCCCTTACCTGTCAGCTCCCCGAGACCACGCCCACGGGCTCGTCCTGGACCTTGTGCACGTGCGTATGATTTACTTCGTTCGTATTTGTGAAACGGGGAGGAGGAGGAGGGGAGGGAAAGGAGGGTCGACCACCATGAGCCCGACCCCTCCGCGATATCCGAGCTCGCCGCTAGCTCGAGGCGGGCTCCCCCAACCTCGTTTCGTTGTGTGTGTGTATGTGATTGTGTGTTTTTTTGCTTCCTCACACAAGTTCCCAAGCCGCTTCCCAAAGTAGCCGGACCTCGCGAGCCAAAGCCTTGCCCGGGCAGAAACTTCGAACCGGCGGCAAACAGCAGCCGCCTCACGGCAGCTAACGCGCCGAGAAACTTGCCGCCGTCTTCCCTCCACCCGAAACCCGCCCATCCGCCCATCCTCCTCATCCTCCCCGTCACCCGCGAACCCCACCCATTCCTCGACGACCGCGCCGGCCTCCCC